CATATTAAGACAAGCAATAAATGTACACATGCAGTATGAAGTTGATGAAAGTGAAAATATAGCATAAACTAGGACAGTCAATTAGACTAAGGTAGCCCAAAAGCCGGATTTGTTTGGCTTAATCGGACTAAGCTTTATACGATAAAGCTGGAAGGATTTTGGGCCAGATTTGAAATTCAGGCTGATCTTGGTCTACCCTCAGATCAACCAAAACATGGCCCAATCTGATTTGGTTTCTATGCATATGGGATATGTGCCTAGAAATTGTATATAAATTTTAATTTTAATTTGTTTTTTTTTTAATCAAAATATTATAATTTTGGTTTGACAAACATTAGTTTTAAGAGCTTATTATATACTGATTACTGAGCTATACATATTATTGAAATTATCTTCGACATTTTTTGACTTGTTCAAGAATCTCACGAGTATTATATGAAATATGCAAAAGGTTAATTTACAAAGGGGATTTTAACATTATTCGGATGGTGATCAAGATCTTGATGGCACATATGGCTAGCTAACAAAGACTTGCCGTTTTTCTGTACATATTTTTATGTTCTTATCTTAATTTCTATTAATTTGAGGCCCGTAAACTGTTACATTCACTACTACAAAAAACACTTTGCGCGACGAAATAATTTTGTAGCGCAAAGTACAATTTCGTCGCGCAAAGTTTGCGCGACGAAATTTTGGTCCCGCAAGTTCTGTCGTGCAAAGATCGTAAAGAAAGGTTTTGCGCGACGAATACTAACGTCGCTAAAAGATACTTTGCGCGACGAATTATAACTACTTTGCGCGACGAATAGTATCAACTTTGCGCGACGAAAGTTAACGTCGCGCAAATACACTTTGCGCGACGAATCCTAATGTCGCGCAAATCTTTGCGCGACGAAATATTCAATTTTTTCATTTTTTATTTTTAAAAAAATTTAATTAAAATTAACTAGTTTAATAGTTTGCACGACGAAATATTTTGTCGCCCAAGGTTTTTGACATTTTGTTTTATTATTTCTTTTATATCAATTTCATTATATTAATTTTTCAAATTTTTACTTTTTAAATTTAATTTAATTGTATGATTTTTTTTTAATTACTTTAATTTAAATAGACATATTCAAAATAAAATTACATATAAAAAGAGTGGTCAAATTATCCAATATATATAATATTCAAAATGTACACATAAATTAACAAAGTACAATAATAAAATCTACAAGCCTATTGTGGTGGTAGTGGTGGAGGATATGTTTCGATAGCGTCCAAATCCTCAACTTTAGCCGTCAAAGTCTCGACGATTCCCTACAAAAAAAACAAATATTGTCAAATAACAA